CTTTTCAACAGCATTTTTGTTATTTAAAATTTTTTGTTCAACTTTTGGAACCTGCCTGCACCCTGGATCTGTTCCTGTCTAAACCTCACACATACAAAGAAATCAAACCACAAATGTCCAGAAATGAAGTTACTTGGGTTGTTACCGACATCTGGTGAAAATTTCATGTCATTAGCACCTCTAGTAATATATTTACTGAGAAAAATGGTGACGTGTTCAATACGTATTTTACCCGCTGTAGTTTGGCTGCATTGCTGCAACATCAGGTTGTAAAAAAATAAAATAAAAATTTGTGCGACTCTGAATCSATGTTTGCCAGGAGTGCTTCTCTGTTCTCAGAGTGGAGGGTGGGTATCGTGAGAAAAGCAGTTCAGGTGTGAAGTTTTTCATTAAGTCTTGGATATGACAAAGGTTATTTTTTTGCCAATAATGGTTATGATAACACCTTCAGAAGTAAAAAAAAAAAAAAAAGAATTTCAGTGGGACACAGAATGGAACAAAGGGGTGATTAAAGGATTTATTTTTGCTGTGTGTGTGTGTTTTGCAGGTTGCTACATTAATTTAGCTTGTTCTCATTAGAAACCTGCCCAACTGTGATCACGTTTGCCAGCAATTCATTGTCATTTTCTGCACAAGCGCTCAGCTAAAGGATAATCAAAACATCACTTAGTCCAATTTTCTCTTTAACGCACTGTGTTGACAACTAGGATCAATATATATAAAACAAAAAAACCCCACCAAATTGTTACAACAAAATCACATCAACTGCTTGTTTTTTAATCTTCTTCTGCAGAGAGACGCTGCTGCGTCCCCGGATCACGTCTTAGGGTCAGAGGCGGGCTGACAGCAAGTCGGGCAGTTTTGAACACTATGGAGGCAAGAACTGACGGGCCCTGCGGGAACGCCACAAAYACTCACATCCAGTTCAGAGTGAGAAGAGCAAGAGGAGCTGCACGTCGCTCCCTCTCTCCTCCTGGGCTCTTTTCAAATGTCACTTTGTCTTTTCATTTCCCTCCCTTGTATTTTCTTTTTTTCCCCCTCCCTGCATGTCCTCCAACCTCATTTATTAAATTATTGTAAAGGGTAACGGTCACCGAGATGTCAGTCCTGCCGTCCCGTTTGTTTACTTAACTTCGAGCGTGAATTCAGTCAAAAACTTTGTTTTTTTAATCGGAACAGGGGAACAAAAGTTACATGTTTTTTTTAAAGGACGTGCATGGAAATAGACAAACCTTGGCAGGAGTGTGTATCCAGATGGCGGCRTTAAACAGGACGTGGTCACAGAGCTGTTTGAGGAGCGGCGCTCCGTGAGGTAAACCGTCCAGATACTTCGCAAACGACAGGAACTGTTCGAGGACCGCCCTGGTGATGTGGACCCGTGACGACTGCACAAAGAAGAACACAATAAAACTGTAACCTCATGCAGATCCTCAATAAATACAAGATAATAAATAAGGTAAAATTTTCAGCTTTTCACAGTCATGGCATAATTATATCCCTGCTGTGAACAACACAGTATACAAACACGCACTCTTACCATCACTGATGTTTTATTATATTATGTCTAAAGTAATTAATTACCTACATACAACCAAAACATGTTCCAGCATAATTGGTCACAGTTCACTGAGCTAGATTCATTTATTTGTAAGGAAAATCTAATAATAAAGACAACCTTGGGGGGAAAAAAAGAGTTTATTTTAATCATCACAAAAAAAAACAGTAATGAAAAGATAAGACTAGAGGAGCGTTTTATARATCAAGGCCTTGATAACCTTGAAAACTCTAGACCAGGTCATGGTAAAAAAAAAGGAATTAAAAAACAAGGCCACTGTCCTGAATCTACCCAAAACAAATCAATTTGAAACCATGGCTGCACAATATTAGGAAAACCTGCGATGATGWTGTGACTTATACTTTGTGTTGATGTCTTTCTGCACTGGGTTCAGAGCAAAAATAATAAAAAAAATACATTACATTATTTCCATTCCAACATGTTTCATTAAAAAATGCAACTAGACTGTAGTAGCAAAGAAACAACAAACCTAGTAACTTTAAAACACCTCTCCATAAAACTTTTTCTGATGCTCTAAATACTGAAAAATGCCCCTTGCCATAATTTTTATAAAATATTTCCAAATAAGAGACGTTTTTTTAACCACAAGTTCTTTGTTGCTAACATGTCCCTTGCTTATCTTGCTCTCAGCCACTGTGACTCTCACTTAGTTAACTTAGCTGTCAGAGCTGAGTGAAGCTGACCCCTCCCAAAAAATTAACCACAGAAAAATAAAAGGCAAATAGGCTGAGTGGTTATTGCTTCGTTTGTGCGGGTTTGTGCACTTGAAATTGTCGTTTGTGCTGCTATGTTTTTTTATATATTAAAGATTATTTGTAAGGGTCATTCAGGGGTCACCATCGCACCAAAATGAACCAAAAATGAACCAAACTAGTCGAATTTTGTAGTGCTTTGCTTGTGCCGTTGAAACAGCTGTTTATACTGCTATATTTATTAGATATTACACGTTTTAACTTTGGCACAAACCTGCTCAAACAAAGCACTACAAAATTAGACTAGTTTGGTTCATTTTTGGTTCATTTTGGAGCGATGGTGACCCCTGAATGACCCTTACAAATAATCTTTAATATATAAACAAAACCATAGCAACACAAACGAAAATTTCAAGTGCACAAACGCGCACAAACGAAGCACTAACCACTCATCCAATGTGCCTTTTATTTTTCTGTGGTTAATTTTTTGGGAGGGGTCAGCTTCACTCAGCTCTGACAGCGATCCACCTGCATCTACATGAGGGGCGGGCTTCTAATGTAAGAAACACATCCACTTGGACAAAACCGTAAAGAGCTTCAGTTGATTGGTCAATTACTTCAAGCTTCCATGTGACTGACAAAACACATATTATAAATATTTGTAAATTCACTTCATGTAGTTTTTGGCGATATGCCCATTWAACAGGCTGTTTTCACGAYGATGATAAATTGTCGATATATAAGGCAGTCCTACTCAAAAACACCAATTCTTCACTTTGCATCTCTTCACTGACCTTCTCCAGCAGGTATCCAATCACCAGAAAGCCTTTCCCTCCCAGCATCTGCTCCTGCATGGCCACTGAGCTCTTCAGCAGCTCCACCAGGAACGCCAGCAAAGTAGCACTGCAACAAACAAAACGGTACACCAAGATTTAACCTTTTTTATTAGTTTTATTATTGAAGTATGTTAGTAAGTAGGTGTTGGAGACTTGCAACCCCCCCCCCACCCCCACCCACACAGCCCTTTACACCCACATCCACCTTCCTCATCATTTATTTTTAATACACAGCTGTATTTTCTTATCTCCATCCTCCTGATGATATTTCATAAATAATCTGTCCCCAGCTGACATGATGTGGAGATGCTGCCTGATAAGTAACTGCATTAAGCCTCATGTGAGGCACCGATATCAGGAGGATCTTGTAGCTGGAGGAGAGAAGATACTTCGTAAAGAAAAAAAAATCATAGTTTACTGCAGGGAAAACGTCCTTTCTCTGCACTTTCACCCTCATGTTTATTTTCTTTTTTTGTGTGTTTGGCTTTTAGCATGTTTTCCAAATGTTGGTCTTTGAGATGAAGATAATTCTCATTCAGAGCACACATACAAACTGAGTACAAAAAGTATGGAAATTTGTGTTTGGTAAATTATTACTTTGTTGTAACAAAGTAATAATTTAAATTTAATAATGTAAAGCTTCTCGGAAATACATCTTATCCTGTTGTAAAGTCTGTTAATGTCTGTTTTAAATGGTGCCACATTTGTAAGGAACATGTAAAGTCACTCATAAGCTGCGTTTCCATTGCAAATGTGCGCAAAACTTTGTCGATATTCTGTTAAGGTCGAAAAACACAGTTTCGCAATAGGGGTGCAACAATACATGTACCCGTATCAAGCCATATCGAACAGTGCTGTATCAGAACAATACAGATTTTAAAAATTTACTTTATCAACATGTCTCCTGAAGATGCCCTGTGTTGAAGGATCAGTGGATCTGGGTTCGACTACTCCACATAGGCTGCATTTTTGAGCGCAGATCCAATGAGAAACTTGCTGTTTCAGCAACCTTTAATTAAAAAACTGTCCTTTTGAGGTTAAACAAATGTTCATAATCAATATAAATTCATCACAAGTTAAAAGGGGCATGGAAATTTCTTTTTTTTGTATGAAAAAATATCGAACCGTGAGACTAAAGTATCGAACCGAACCGTGAATTTCCTGTATCGTTGCACCCCTATTTCGCAACTGCGGTGTTTCCATTAAGTAAGAAATGCTATTAAAGTCACACGTGAATACACTTGTTCTCACGATAAATCATAACAAACATGGTGGTAATGGATGTAAACACATAGCATATTGCTACCACGACACTAGCAC